GATTTTTCTCTACCATGAGAAAGTGAAAACTTTAAAAAAATGAAATAGACTTGGATTTATATATTGGTCTATTTTTCATTGCTAAATCAAAACACTTGTAGCTGGGTACTTATAAAGAAATGGGTTTTATTTATCTTATACTCGTGGGGACTGGAAGTCCAAATACTATAGTACTGTGAGGCCCCTGCAGCTGGGGCAGATGGCACCACAAAGGCAGGAATACATGGAGTGGGAGAGATAGCATGACCTGGGAAACTGGAGTAATAGCTAAGCAGAGCCAACTTTTCACTAGGCTCTGCCTTTTCAATATCAACGTATCTTAAACTACATCCACATAACATCCGGTCTTTAGCAATGCATCATAAAGTAGAATATGTATATGACTTATAAATCTACAGTAGGAAAATATGATCAAAAATATACTTGCTGTAAGACAACTTGAGCTGAGCTCAACCTCTGAGTGTATAAAAACATCTCTCTTTCTTTCCTTAGGAAAAGAAAGGAAAGAAGATCCCAAATGTTAAGTCAGATTTACATCAGTCTGTGGTGGGGTTCTGACTCTGTCAGGTCTTGTCTGGTGGTCTTGGATGAGGAATGTCATTCTCTAAGTGCAGTGACATCCATAGTACAGAGCTGCTCCGAGACATGAAAGACACTTGTTATCAGACATTTGTCACTCAGATTCCATGGCAAGAATGACCCCAACTAGAAGCAGTGGCATTGTTTAGAAGGTAGGGCAGGTCCAGAAAGTTTTGGTGATTGTCCCCAAGCATCCCTTCTGTGTTTATATCAGGGACTGCTAATCAATGATGAATGACCCTCATTCCCTTTGTCCATGGAAGCCTTCGTCATCAACTTAGGCAGGAACTACCAGTTCAATTGGTCTTTAGGGAACCTAGCTCCCATCCTACTTAAAATAGCTAAGCTAGTCAGTGAGGAAAAGGCATGTGAGTTAAATACCACCTCTACCATTTATAAACAGGGTGATTATGAGAATATTAGTAGGTTATTGATTGAAAATCAGCTTTGATGATTTATTTTGGGGATGAATCAGGAACAAGAGCCAACTGTCAGGGGGTGCTCCTTTAGAACAAGACATGGGTGAATCACTAAAGATCAGGGCTCAAAGACATTGGAGGTCAGGCTGGCCTCTCCACTGTACTCTGCACTTAAACATGGCTTTCAGCCAGGCCCTTTCAAGCCTTAGTGACAGCTGTGTCACAGACTACGATTTCATCATGGTTCCTGCCAGCACTGGAAATGGGGCGCTGTGAAGAGGTTCTTCCCTGTGTCTTGACTTAATGTTTCTGTTAATTCCCTCAACAATCTCTACTGAAGCTTAATCTGTTTTCTACTGAGTGTCCTTCAGCATCTGCTCCCTCCTGCCCTCTTCCCACTCTACTGAAAAAGCAAGGCTTTCTTAGGTGATAATAGCTTAGGTGGTGGGAAGCTGGAGAAGCAGGAGGTGCTGGGATAGGTGTCTAATGATGTAGCTTTTGTATGCTGAGGGGGTATGTCAGGAACAATTGGGCAGAAATTCACAGACTATAGGAGAAGCTATGTGAGATGGGAAGGTACTGAGAAGAGAACGTGAGTAGCGTGATGGGAAAAGAAACACAAATTGTTTAAGGCATGCAAAATGACATTTTCATTGATCCCTAAAACCCCTCCCCTCTTAATCTTACCACAATAAAAATAGAACCTGCTTTCTTACCATATAATGGATGCGTTTGTTAGAATGAAAATTAGAAAGTATTGTTAACCTAAATTAGTCATTTGTACCTAAAAGGAATATCAAGTATGCCCAACACATTTACTGAACATTGGAAATATTCAATGTGGTCCTGAGAGCCCACAGTCCCTTTATCTGATGCTCTGCTAATGGTTTCTGTAACTCATCTTCCCTGGAGCAAAGAGCAAGAGATGCTGGAGATGAGCAGATGCAGCAGACAGTTGGTAAAGCAGAGATTAAGTGCAGACCCTTGCCAGGGTGTGTAGCCCTTACTCCTCACCAGGGCTCCACCTTTATTCTTTACCATGGCTCCATTACAGAGATCAGATCACCTGTGTGTGCAGATGATGAAGGGGCAGGTGTCTTAGCTTAAATTATGGGTCCGAGATTACATGAGAAGCAAGGGAGAGAACTGGGATTGTAAGCAAAGCTTGTGAAGTGTAATCTTAGAGCATGGTATCTGGTCTGGGACATGGTCTGGTCCAGAAAACTCTTTACTCTGCTTCCTGTTGCAACTTACGTTTTGTTTCTTCTCCCATCCTACCACCCCAAGCTTTTAATATAGGTCTAGTTTGGGGACCAGTAGTCTTTGTGTGACACTCTAAATCTTATAACACACACACACACACACACACACACACACACACACACACACACACACACACGCGCGCAATTTCCCCCTCTCAAGAACTTGAAGATGACCCCACTTGAGGGTGTGCTATACGGCAACGAAACCAAAACCAAACAAACCTGTTGCCTAGTCAGAAATTGTGGGGTGCTTGGGAAGTTGATCTGGGTTTGGAAACAATGAGTTCCTTGTTCACGATTTTCACACACACCCTGTGTGAAGTTGCAGGGTGAGCAACTTGACTCCAGGGTAGGTGCAGTGAAGGGATGTAATTAGCCTATTAAACTCTGCTAATGTCTTGTAAAGTCACTCAAGTGAGAATGACAGCTATATCAGTTCCACTTGGACCTGGCCACAGGGAGCATTGGGTTTCTTCCTACTATTCGTAGTCCTTGAAGGTTGAAAGAGCAGACTCAGAAAGACATAGCTTTCTTTGTGGTTTATTTTGTCAAACCAAAATGCAACAGAGAAATGCCGTAGAATAGGTGTGTCCCTAGACTTAGACTTTACCACTCTCCAAATTCAAAGCCTCTGTCTGAAGTCACGTGCGCTCACTGCACAGAGCTTACCTGGCATCCCTCACTCTGATGCATGCTCAGACACTTACTAAAAGGGGTCAGGTTTGCAGTTGGCTGGCAGCGAATGCAGCAAAACTGCCATCAAAGACCTATTGGAAGCTTTTGTGTTCCTGTTTTGTGTTACAGAGTTTAGTACCAGGACCCATGCCTTCTTCTTTTATTTTTATTTTTATTTTCCAAAACAGGGTTTCTCTGTGTAGCTCTCGCTGTCCGGGAAATCACTCTGAAGACCAGGCTGCCCTCAAACTCACAGAGATCCACCTGCCTCTGCCTTCCAAGTGCTGGGATTAAAGGTGTGCACCACCACAGCCCGGCTCATGCATGATTTTTATGATGAACATTTACTAAAACACTTTACTCTGTTCTGGGCACTTTTATGAGACCCACCTTTATGAGACTACAGCATTAAACACGACACTCTTTTCTCAGAGAACTTTCATCCTTATAGAAGAGATAGAAATAATGAGCAGATCAACAATGAAACAACTGGTGGTGATGGTATTTTACTAACTATAGGACAGGTAGAAACGTTAGGACAGATGGGGTGGGGGTGATGCACCTTGCTCTCCAGCCATGGAAGTGGGCAGGGATCAGTATTGCGGGCATAAGGGGCTATCTGGGAGGGGGAAAAGGAGGCTAGGGAGCTGGATGGAGAGAGGCCAGTGGTGGAGTTTGACCTGCACCAGTATACTACTGTGTGTACTGGGCAGCAGAAGTGGAGTCATTCTTGTTCCCTGTGGGGTGGAAGCCAGGGGGAGCTCAAGCAGGGGAGACACATGGAGTATGATACTCCTTACCAGATGCTAAGAAGATGACAGATTTTCAGGAGAAAATGGAGAAGCAAGAAAAAGGTACCATGGCAGTATCTGATGGAGAAGTGCTTTTGCAGCAGCAGATGTTAATTCTGTTACTAATTCATCTATTTATGCTTAAATTAAAATGTTAAATTACTGTGAACCTGGATCATTTTAATGACAAATACAGTAAATATTTGAACATGGTTGAAACCATAGCCACCTCACATCCTCAGAGATTTCCCATTGACCAGAATTAGAGCTCTGTACCTTTAAATGATAAACTATCATTCTCTATCTACTCTAGCATGTGCATTTGTGGGCATTTGACAGCTCTCCATACCTCATATAGCTTGAACCATGCAGTAACGGCTCTCTTGTATCTGACTTGTTTCACTCAGCACAATGTCTTCTAGACATTAATGTGTTCATTAATGCTGCAACATTTATAAGAATTTCCTTCTTTTTAAGAGAACAGTATTCCATTGTAAATATATTTTGTCTTTTTCACGTAACAATAGACACATGTGTTGCTTTTCCCTTTTAGCTGTTGTGAATAATAACACTGCTTTGGGTCTGGGCACACAAATCCCTATGCAAATTCCCATTCAGACCTCTGGGCTAAACACCTTAGAAATGAAGTTGCTATATCATGTGGTATTTTCATACTTCGTATTCTGGGAGATCCCCATGCTATTTCCAGCAATTCTATTTTAAAGGTAGATTTATCAGCAGTTGCTAAGCAATTGGTGTTAGGAATTCAAAAGGGAAAGCTTAGAGTTAGTTCAAGATTTTCCATTTTAAAATGGGAGAACTATGGGGTCAGATACTGGGGTAAGAAATTCTTTTGATATTGTGTGAGGGTTATGGATAGACAGAGAAGGCTCTGTTCAAGGAATTTTGTATTTTTTGTGTATCTTAAACAGATGACACCATCAGATAAGCAATTTTATGTACTTATCTGTAATTCCAGGGTAAGGACTAGAAATGTGCTTCATGTGCATTATCATTTGGCATGTAAATACTATTTAAAATCATAAGACGAAATGCAGTCATTTAGTGGGATATAGTTCTGCATATTCTTAAACCTTGATTAAGCCCCACATTTACAGATTCGACCAAGAAGGTACTAGCAAAGGAGGCTGATGCGGGATCTCCGTGGTAGAAGAAATCCAGTAAATGAGTTTTTTCTAAGCCGTGAAAACAAAATGTGTCATGTGGGAAGGGGTGATCCACCCCCTCACCCCACACCAGGACTGAGGCTTGAGTAACTGCCTGATGATTAGATTTGGCACAGTGAGGGAGCTGATGTACCTGATGAGGGTAATCTTAAGGACCCGAGATGAAAGATGAAAGTTTGGTTAGTGATCTGAGATAAAAGTGGCAGATGCCATTCCCAATTCCACCTGTCAACATTCAATTCAGAAGTGTCATCATTAAGGAAAGAGTAAGATGTAGCAACGGGTGGAAGTGGCCTCTTTGAGATTCGGTGGTAACATATTTTCATAGAGGAGGAGAAGGAGCTGGTGTGAACGGCAAGGACACTTACCGGGCGAATGTATGAAGGGAGAGAGGACAGGACTCCAAGTCCCACAGAAGAGCTGGTATGTCATAGCCAGTGGTAAATTAAAAGGTAGGTGGATCCACAAGGTTCTCTGATCTTTGCGAAGTGACAGCGTACAGTCACCTATTGAGAGGAAGAAATAAGTGAGGGAGGGTGTGAGGGATTTGAGGAATGATCAAAATGTGAAGTGACCTCAGAGTAGGCCAGTGTCACACAGCCTTGCCTGGCACACTGACACTTAGTTGGATATGAACCCTCAATTTTATTTCCATCCTATTGTGTGGAGAACATAGCTGTGTCTCTTTTGTCTCGGTCATTAGAAGAACCTTAATGCTGACTTCTGCCATGGCCAGACTCACTTATGTTCTCCCTACAGCGTGCAAATTTCCTTCACATGCTCAACAGCATCTACTGTTGGTTGTTGTTGCTTTCTTGATGAGCCTTCTGAATGTGGCTTTTCCCCAGAATGTTTGAGAGGATCCCATTAGTTCTGGACAGACACAGAGTCTGATGGCTTAGGTCTGAACTAGGGCAGAAGTCCTCCCTGCTCCAAGCTTCTGAGGGAACCTCCAACATATCCAGTTCTATTGGCTATTAAGTTAAAGCAGCTATAAGTGAAATAATCATCTTAGGAAATGTGGTTTCTTATTCTGATTTACTTTAGGGTACTGAAGTGTTTCTAAAGAAAGGAAATGGAGTTGAAATTCAGAACTAGAAAACTCAACTTGATCTAGTAGGAATTTTAATATAACTCTCTCAATTTCTTTTCAGTTTCTTTCTTCTGGTACACGAATAAACCATTTTATCATACTGTAATTTTCTCTGAACTGATTTAGAAGTTACTTCATTATAGTTTGAAAAAACTGTGTAGTTAGAGTCTAAGCTTATGTAACTTATTACAGTGCTTAAAAATCCCCATTTTTATTAGATTTCCTCATATTCTTTCACTGATGTTGTGACAAATGAGCCCATTTACCATTTCACACCTTTCTGGTTTGGTTCCTTATGTATCTTTCTCATCCTTCCCATCCCTGAGGGAACAAGGTCTCATTTCTCTCTCTGTTATCTGAGCACAGTGGCTTACCTAAGTAGATAAATACAGGGAGAGGAAATATAATATTGAAGTAAGAAAGCATATTCAACCAATTATTCATCTCTCTGATTTCTCTGTATTATTGTCTAAGTTTTGAGATAGATTCAGGGAAACCTAGTGGACAAAAAGATAAAAAAAAGTCCAAAAAGAGTCAACCAAGATATTCAAGTACTTAGTGGAAAACTCACAAAATATGAAATCTGTGCTGATTCATTTCTGTCATGTGCCCTCATAAACATAGGCAAAGAGATATTGATATTGGCCTTGCCATACCCAACTGTTTCCTGCCTGAGCCTCTTGCTCTCCTGGAAAACAGTGATATCAACTGGATACAATCTGAAAATGGCGAAAAGAGCCTGATGCCTGGTTTACCTCCAGATTCCTCCTACAGAGAGTTTTGGTGATGTACAGTAGCTACTGGTCTGTACTGTTGGATCCCCCTTACTGTGTGTGAGAATTTCCCTGGGTCTCCGTTAGTGACCACGACAGGCAATGACTCTATGTGCTGTCCAGGAAACCATCCCCAGCATCAAGGAGGTCATGAACCTAACTGTGAAGAAGAGTTACATATAAGTGTGACACATATTAGGGGTGGTGGTGGCAAAACTACATCAAAACATTAGGTCCAATGTTGGAGAGTCATAGAAGGTTTCTTGGAGGAAGTGAAATCTCTGATGCCCAGGGTGTGTCTCAGAGGGGCGGTGAGAGGATCTGATTTAGGCTAAAGAGCAACGAGTACAGTAACAAGCAGGCAAGGGTTTGCAGGAAATATGTTAGAGGATCCTACATGTGCAAATAGCTGGAACACAGAGCCAGATAATGCAATAGCTTCTATGACATGTGTGAGTTTGGACTTATTAATTCTTCAAACAATGGGTGTGGAGACAGGTCTGCAGTATTACAAGAGTGCTTCGCCACAGCAACCTGCAATTTGAAGACCTGTTCCACTGCCCTTTTAGTAAATTATACCCTATAGCACAGAAAAGAATCCTGCCACAGAGAAATGTGATCCCGGTATGGGTCCAGAATGAATTTAACATGCTTACAGCATGAAAGGGAATTTTCAGGACTCACAACTTAATTCATACTACCTAAATGCTGGATGTAGCATGTACTGACTTCTGTTTATAAGTAAAATATTTTTTTAAAGCTGATTGATTTTGTCAAGAAAAGATGATGTCCAGCCTTGGTCTGACAAAAGCTAAGGTCGTTTTTTTTAGTTTGACAACATAAAAGCCACTTGACCAAGCTGATAATGTGTTCCCAAACCCGTTTTACAATTTCCTTCCTAATGGCTTTTGTGAATCTAGGAAGAAGTATTTTAATGGCATATTAGGGAGGGGTAGTTAAAATCTGAGCATAGAGAATTTTGGGTTGTTATAAACTATAGTGCTAGTTTCTGATTGAGGAGAACTGTCCAGTGTAATCATTTCATGAGGACATCGAAAACACTGTAGCTATCAGTGTTCACATCTGCCAACACAAACTCCTTTCATTGGAAGAGAGTGGTTTTCTCTTCCTCTTATCATCTTTTTGGTTTTGTTTTTCATTTCTAATAACAAAGGTACATATTAAAGGTATACAATATGATGCATTGATAAATATACACATGATAAAATGAATATTACTATCAAGCAGATTGCATTACCTTCTCATCCAGTTACCTTTTAGCTTTGAGTTGAGCAAGTCAGAAATTGACCAGCTTAGCAAATTTCTACTACACAATGCAATGTATAGTAATTATAGCTATCATGTTATACACTAACTTATAGACAGTTTGTCTCTTTTACTACCCCGAGCACAATAATTAAGCAATTAAAGGCATTACATCATGTGTAACTGGGGTTTCACAGGAAGACAATGGATAATGTTACTCATGCTACTTTATGTCAATGTCAATGTCCCATAAACCCCGTTGGCCAATAATTTCATGCTATAGCAATTAAGAGTCTTTGTGCATGAAATAAGCCCAGGTTCAGAACCCAATTCTTCCGTTTATTGATCTGCAACCTTGACTAAATCCTTAGTTTTCTAATCCACACAGTTAATGTTAACTGTCTCAGATTCTATGATAATAGGATGAAATGCTAGTACAATGTTTCAACCCTAAATAGGATCTATTGAGCATTTTTGCTTTTACCATATGGCTCTGTTTGTTTTATTATGAACAACTTTATCTTTTCCTTATTTCCTCCTCTAGGGATATGAAACCTGACAATATTTTACTGGATGAACATGGTAAGTAAATGATTTGCTTGCAATCATCTATGTGGCAGGTATTTAAAAGCACATTGATCACCCTAGCTTGATTCAGTTGATATATATATCATATATACATTTCATCTGTGTGTAGGAGAGACTAGATAGGAAAACTTTATAGCAATGTAACACTCCAATAATCGACTCTTAAATAACATTGAGATAAGTAACACAATGAGAGTGTCATTCTTTACTTTATTTTCTTCCAGTGCTATATTTCTTCCAGAAAACTATCTGGTTATTTTAGTACTAGTTTTCCTAATATCTTCCAGTGAAAGATAGAGCTAATCTGAATGCAGAGAGTTTGTCAGGTCATGGTAGCCACCAAGTAACTGAGATGATTTTGTTAGTGTATTCTTTCATAGTTGGCATCTCATGAAGGCAAATTCCTTCCACACATAAGGGATTATCAAGTCTTATGTTCAATTTTTTTTCAGTTAAGAAAATAAATGAGCTTAAAGAAAAAATGTAAAGTAGGTAAAAATGGTATTATTGGGCCCAGATATAAAATTGATAGTGGAAAATGCCAGTAATC